AAAAAAAAAAAAAGAAAGAAAGAAAGAAAGAAAAGGGTGGGTTGCTATGCTAACAGCTAACACTAATAGCAACGCACAGACACACATCTGTTATAACTGTAAAATACTAGAACGTCATTCAGCAGAAGTGAAGCATAGAATTGTTGGATGGTTCATACTATCAGCAAGTCAAATTAGTCAGAAAATTCACTAAAAATGCACCAAATGGTTCACTTCAGTTATCGAATTAGTGGATTAAGACTACAATAGGAAACACTAAATGGCTACAAGTGCAGGAGTTGAAGCACTTGTCAGCCTACAGCTTCACCATCCAGCTGGATGGACAAAAAAAACCAAAAAAACCCCCACACAGTATCATGTTGAGGTACAAGTTGACACAAAGCAGAACAATATAAAAAAGACAAAAGTTGTTCTGTTTTTGTTTTTTGTTTTTTTTGTTTTTTTATCGGGTTTATGTATAATGCTACAAAGTCGAGCATTTAAACACGTAAGTCTGTGGAGATTTCAGTCCATTTTTTAGCCAAGAGGAACTTGTTTGCAACTTCTGTTGGCTTTTTTTGTTTTTAACTTTAGAGGCTGTACCTTGATCTAAAACAAGACTTTCAATAGAGATACTGAGGTTCGTGCACTCTGTCATACTGATCTGTCGATAATGTTGAATTATTATTCCTAAGACTTTAGAAAAAAATAGACCGACTCACAATGTTAAAATGTTAGACATCCCCGAATGCTTCTCGCAGTTCTTGCCATCTTTTTCCCCAGGCACAAAGCTATGACATCGCAAAAGCAACTGACCTGTCAGTTGCAAATACTGCCCTTGAGCAATTTTGAATCTGATGTGTGCAGTCTAGTAGTGCTGAATGGTTGCAACTTTTTGCCTCAGTAGTGCAAGATTATTAAAAGATGCTGAGCGTATGCAGCTTAGGACGCATGGGAGTTTATTTACATGCATACATGAGTGCTCTTAAAGATTTGAACGAGGACAAATATCAAGAAAAACGAATGGAAATAGATCATTTTCCGTTCCCAACATGATACAGAAGAACATTGGCTCTTAGAAAAGGTTCCTCTTTATTAGTCTGGGATTGCCTGAACAGCCAGCAAACAACTTTATTTATTTTTTTTACAGATGATTATATATAAAGAACAATAAATAGCTTCTTTTGATGAAAATAAGTTGTCGTTAAAGCACCGACCTCCCATGGAAAGTTGACAGTGGCACAGAAAGCACATTAGGACCGTTAACTGATTTGCTCTGAGGAGGAGTCATTATTTCTGTAGGAACTCCTTATTACTCACTGATTTCATTAACACAGGATTTTTGTTGGTGCATATCGTAACCCATTCCTTTTCCTCTACATAATAATCAACACACATTTACAAAGATTTACAGCACTGCATTGTGGGAGATGGGAGTGCCCATCGGGATATGCTGTTGCCAGGCAACAAGAAGAAGAGATAAAGCTAGTCGTTAGTTTCTAAAACGAGACTTGGGTTGAAAGCGGGGGATTGGGAAGGGAGGGCAGTGTACACATGAGGTAAATCAGGGATCTCACTCAAGCCTACAAATGAAAAAGACTACATTTTACAATGCGGTACAGTACTGAGTGGAAACTAGGGCTGCAATCATTTATTAGTCAGGTTTTCGGGGTACACGTTTAAGGCAACGGGTGTGATGTTGGAAAAGAGGCAGGGTGTTAAAACTTCAAAACATTCCTCTGACAAAATATTGCATATGGGAAAAAAAACCAAAACATTTAAAGTGACCAAACAAGGAAAAAGCATCCTTCACCACATTTGGTTTAGCTTCTTTCGGCTCATAGATGTTTTGAGTTGGTGAGAGACCAAAAAAAAAAGAGATGTAATATGAAATCTGTTCCTTTTTCACTGCTTGAGCAGGACTGGGATATTTGGACGGCGCTGACACCGACATCCAAAAAAAAACACTTGAGATTTCAGACGGATGTGGGTGGCTGTGAGCTGCTGTTGTCATGGTGATGTGGAGGATTAAGATCATGATGTCCCACCAGTCAAAACTTCAGGTTGTCAGTTCTAGGAAGGAGCGGTGGGGGGGGGGCTACACATGCAGTCAATGTACTATTATTGCCCCCCCCCCCACCTCTCGTTCTTGATGTTGCCCGGCTTGAGAAGAGTGGTCTCTCGCCTTTTTTTTTTTCCTTGCCTTGCTCCCTCTCTCCCAGGTGCTGCGATCTGCTTATGGGGAGACGGGGCCTCTAAACATTGGGTCCTTTGATCGTTCCCGCCTCCTGTAGTCTCGGTGAGGTGTAAGCAGACGCGGCCAGGCACATCGCTGCCTCGCAGAATCCCGGGAGACCCAGCGGACCCGACATGCCGGGGCGACCGGCCTCTCCAGGTGTTCCCTGAGGTCCTCTCTCTCCGGGCCTACCGTCCCGAGCCACTCCATCGATACCGGGGGGGCCTGCAGAGTGACAGAGTTTAACATCAAATGGGATTTAACTGATTTCGAGGGGTCAAAAAGATTAACTGCACCAAATTTCATTCTAAGGGTTGGAAACCCCATTCTGGACTTGGATTACATGTGTGTACTGTATGCATGCATATATTTAAGTTGTGTGCATGTGTGCACACAGAAGTGTGAGTGTGTTTCCCTGTATTTGAATTAGCGTGTGCTGTTGCAAGCCTATTACATTCTCATTCAAGAGCATCTGTTAAATTACTGGAGTTAATGATGCCTTTAAAATGCCTTTCAGCAGGCTCTCCTGTGGAGAGAGCAGTAATGCCAGGTCCTTCAGTTACTTGCAGTACCTTTCTTCTTCTTCTTATCTGTCTTCATGAAAAAAAACTTTGTGGAAGGACTACTACAGTGCCCCAAGAAAAGATTGTTACACTCGACTGAGGTATAAAAGCTAGGTTGAATGTAGGCGAAGTGCAATTGAGACACACTTTGTGAGTACACGTTGATGTACATGTGACTTAAATGTCCACTGAAGCTTCTCTTCTTCTTTAGAGATCAACAAAATCCATGTGAAGGGATGAAGAGACACATTTGAGCTCATACACAGGTTCTGACTTTACTGCATTTGATTGTATTGCTGTGTCACACGCACACTGCACTTTTTTTTTAAAGGCTGTCCAGAATCTTAAAATTTCTTGATTTCACAAGTGAATCCATTGTAAGGTACGTTTATGCAGCAGCTGTGTTGACTTTTGGCCCAGTCACCAGAATATTACTATTCAAAAATTTTCCATCCCTCTGGCACTCCCATTTGCATCTTAAAATTTGAACATGAGAGTATGCTGTAAACAACAGTTTTTTTTGTTTTTTTATAAGAAAGTTTTAGGTGGCATTGTCACTAGATTTTGTGGTTCTGCCCCCAGATTGCAGTGACAGTGAGTAGTATGTGATTTGCACAGTTTTTAGTGGCATTCTGCTGAGGCCCAGCCATGATGGAGGTGGAATTAGACAGATTTGACAGATCCTGTGATATAATGTAATTTACCTCAGCTTAACACAACTTAACTCCTTATAAAAGTGTGTTTTTCCTCCCCACTGTCGCCAAGTGCATGTTCATGGGGGGTTGTCTGATTGCCAGGGTTTTCTCTGTATTACTGAAGGGTCTTTAACCCTATAATATAAAGTGCCCTGAGCTGACAGTGTTTGCGATTTAAAACTTCATGAAATAAACTGAATTGAATCAAATTGAACTGAATTGCCTGGGAATATGCACAAAATGTTACCTTACAGGTTCATTTAGAAGGCTTTCAGGTCTTACCTTGTATTCCTGGAGCTCCTGGTGGACCTGAGTGAGGTCTACCTGGATCACCTCTCACTCCCTTTGAACCTCTTTTTCCTGAGGTAGATGAAAGAAAAAAAAACATGTTTAATGCCTGAGAAGTTCAACTTCAGATATTCCAATACGCAAAAGTACTAATGTTTAGTTTTACCCTTAAGCCCTGTGTTTCCAATTTGCCCAGGTGCTCCAATAATGCCGGGGATGCCGCGGGCACCAGGTAAGCCATGTGGTCCCTGAGGCCCAGATGCCCCTGGAGGTCCAGGGGGTCCGGGAGGCCCCATTACACCTGCACCACCAAGCACAGCCCTCTTGGCGCTTACTGCCACGGCCGCTAGCCTCTCTGTAATGGAAGAGAGGGCATCATCATTTTGATTAACTGATCTTTGATGTTTCCTCGGGAGATTAAAGCAGGTCTAGATGCTCACCCTGCATCATCTTCAGCACAACCTCAACAATGTGCTGGTCAGATGCATCACGTCCCTGGAGAGAGGAGGAGAACACTGAGCACTGACTAAACACTGATTGGTGTTCTGTCTGTATGTGTCTGTGATTAAGAGTGGAACTGGACTCACTGGTGGTCCCTGAATGCCCGGCATACCGGGTACTCCTCGTTCTCCATTAAGCCCCCTAGGACCGGGCAGCCCCAGTGGTCCCTGGTCTCCTGGTTTGCCAGGATCTCCAGTGGGTCCATTGTGTCCAGTGTCACCCCTGATTCCTTGCTGTGAAGAAAAAAGAGAATCAACCCAGTGAGGCCCAACACATCATGAATAATGAGAATTAACTCTTATAATTAATACCATAGGCTTTGGGTTACAGAGTTAAAGGTCAGGGTTGACTTATAGAAAGGTGGATATGAGTAGGGAAAGAATGACGCAAAACAAGTCCATCCATGCAGTCAGATTTCTACTGGTTGTAACTCTCACCTGTCCTTTGGGCCCAGGTTCGCCAGACAAACCCTGTCACAGGAAAGACAGAAAGTCATTTTCCCCATTCATCATTTCCATCCATCATTTGCGCCTCGGAGACACTCACTGAGCAATAATTCAAGGATGAATATTGTAAATGAACATCTAAAAATGCAGCTTCAAAGACCCAAATGTGCATCATTGCCTCACTGTCATGTAAATAGCTTATTTGCCATCTGGATTATAATGGGGATTTGTATGCAAATTTGAAAAAAAAAACCAGACATCCTCTTCTTCTTCTTAACTTTGGTAATGCTTCCAACATTTTCTTGTATATAACTCTCTGCTTTGATGCCTCCAGAACCAAATGTTTAAACCTTTTTTTTTTTTTTTTTTTATCTAAAGCCTAAAAGTTGCATTTATTTATTTCCTTTTTCTTTTCAAACTTGGAAACTTTTTGTGGTCCTTATGGCAACAAAAACCACCAACTACTTTAAAGCAGCTTAAGTCTGTGCTGGAACAAATGTACGCATTTTTACCTTTTCGCCTTTTTCGCCGGCCAATCCCTCGACTCCGGGGTCACCCTAAAAGCGACAGAGAGGTAATGAAGAATAAGGGGAATAAAAAAG